TAATTTCTGTTTGATGTTTTACACAACAATGACTTTAAATGATCTTTTGGGAGTAATTTCTCAGCCAAATCTGATGTGCGATTAATTTGCAATTAATTAGATTAAAAAATGTAATCGCTTACCAGCCCTAAAAAATACAAAAAGAAAGAAAGTATATTCCATTCGTTGAAATTAACAACATAAATTAAAATAAAAAATAAATAAATCATTTTAAATGAACAAAAATAAATAAAACACTTCCTAAAAATGTCATATGACCATTAACCAACGTCAGAGAACCGTGAACATGCATATGCAATACTTAATTATTAAATATTTATTTTAAAATCTCATGGGTACTTTAAGTAAATATATTAGATGAAAGATGTTCAGATGACAAAAAAGTTTGGGAATGCCTGCATTACATGTAAATAAGAAATAATGTGAATTTGTGCATTTTAATGTGTTTGAAAGACAAATGCCTTCCAAATACATTGAAATAGATGGTTAAATAACCTACTGAGTGATAATTCAGATACATATTAATGTGTTCATCAATAGTTGATGCAACATTGAAACACTTGAAATGATTTTTGTAAATCCAGTGGTCAAATGCTGTGTAGCCACCTGACTAATGACTTTCTGTGAATGTCCACAAAACTGAAAGACTTTTTTGAGAGTCTGTAAGCGGTAGGATATGTTAGAAAGAAACATTTAAAAGATGAAAAAGAGGAATTAGGAGAATTGATAAATTATGAATAATTTATTTCTATTGTATGCATAGTATGTAATTATGTAATCCATAAAAAAGTAACTGTAGTCTGATTACAAGTATTTTAAAATGTAATGTAACCTAATTACAAGTACTTAATTTTTGGAATCTGATTACGTAACCCAGATTACATGTAATTCAGTTACTACCCAGCTCTATGTCTATTGTATTTTAAGAGATAAAATAACTGAGATTGCAACTGATATTTAGTAAGTTATATATTTAGTAAAATGTCACTCTTTTACCATTGCGCTCGATACATATTAATGTGTTCATCAATAGTTGATGCAACATTGAAACACTTGAAATGATTTTTGTAAATCCAGTGGTCAAATGCTGTGTAGCCACCTGACTAATGACTTTCTGTGAATGTCCACAAAACTGAAAGACTTTTTTGAGAGTCTGTAAGCGGTAGGATATGTTAGAAAGAAACATTTAAAAGATGAAAAAGAGGAATTAGGAGAATTGATAAATTATGAATAATTTATTTCTATTGTATGCATAGTATGTAATTATGTAATCCATAAAAAAGTAACTGTAGTCTGATTACAAGTATTTTAAAATGTAATGTAACCTAATTACAAGTACTTAATTTTTGGAATCTGATTACGTAACCCAGATTACATGTAATTCAGTTACTACCCAGCTCTATGTCTATTGTATTTTAAGAGATAAAATAACTGAGATTGCAACTGATATTTAGTAAGTTATATATTTAGTAAAATGTCACTCTTTTACCATTGCGCTCTTTTTGTTACTATTTAGGAATTGGTACTGTGCCTGTGGGACGGGTTGAAACAGGCATTCTGAAACCTGGCCTAGTTGTGACATTTGCCCCTGTGAATGTGACCACTGAGGTGAAATCTGTGGAGATGCATCATGAGGCTCTGTCTGAAGCTCTTCCAGGTTGATTTTTGTAAATCCAGTGGTCAAATGCTGTGTAGCCACCTGACTAATGACTTTCTGTGAATGTCCACAAAACTGAAAGACTTTCTGAGAGTCTGTAAGCGGTAGGATATGTTAGAAAGAAACATTTAAAAGATGAAAAAGAGGAATTAGGAGAATTGATAAATTATGAATAATTTATTTCTATTGTATGCATAGTATGTAATTATGTAATCCATAAAAAAGTAACTGAAGTCTGATTACAAGTATTTTAAAATGTAATGTAATCTAATTACAAGTACTTAATTTTTGGAATCTGATTACGTAACCCAGATTACATGTAATTCAGTTACTACCCAGCTCTATGTCTATGGTATTTTAAGAGATAAAATAACTGAGATTGCAACTGATATTTAGTAAGTTATATATTTAGTAAAATGTCACTCTTTTACCATTGCGCTCTTTTTGTTACTATTTAGGAATTGGTACTGTGCCTGTGGGACGGGTTGAAACAGGCATTCTGAAACCTGGCCTAGTTGTGACATTTGCCCCTGTGAATGTGACCACTGAGGTGAAATCTGTGGAGATGCATCATGAGGCTCTGTCTGAAGCTCTTCCAGGTGATAATGTGGGATTTAATGTGAAGAATGTCTCAGTCAAAGATATCCGACGTGGGAATGTTGCAGGTGACAGCAAGAACGATCCTCCACAGGAGGCAGCTAGTTTCACCGCACAGGTAAAGGTCTTAGTTTGGTGTTTTATAGTGTTATAAAACCTTCTGACACAATTCATGATTTAAAATATAAATTATCTAGATACGCCTGTTAGGGTCTACACTGAAAAAATGGTAACATCTTAAATAACTGGTTTTATTCAAGTCCAAATTATGTAACATCATTGGATCAGACTAAATACATTATTTTAGACCAACGAAACTCATTTCTATGTGTTAAATCAGGTAGAAATAACTCTTTAAGAAAATAATTACCACTTTTTGCAGTGTAACAAATAAGATTTATTTTAAAATCTTTTCACTGTTTGACATTACAAACTATTCACTGATCCACTTTCTGCTCTGGTCAGGTGATCATTCTGAACCACCCAGGTCAGATCAGTGCTGGTTACGCCCCCGTGTTGGATTGCCACACTGCTCACATTGCCTGCAAGTTTGCCGAGTTAAAGGAAAAGATTGACCGTCGCTCTGGGAAGAAGCTGGAAGACAATCCCAAGTCCCTGAAGTCTGGGGATGCTGCTATTGTAGATATGATACCAGGCAAACCCATGTGTGTGGAGAGTTTCTCTGAGTATCCTCCTCTTGGTAAGGGTCATATATTAATTTGGATTTTAAGTTATGTATCTTCATTATAAAACGCTTGACTTTATTACCAAATTCACTCCCGCTATAAACATGCATTAATTTTTCAAGTGCTTTTTATAAGAATATTTCACTGTTTCAGTGCAGTGAACTTTCTATGGTGGGCATAAATTATAATAATTAATAATATTTGCTTAAAGTTTTATTTTTGAGCATTTTGGATTGTATTTGTCTGGACAGTTTGAGGTAAAACACTGTGATAAGAGAGAAGAGGGAAAAACAGGAAAAGACTTTGAGCCAAGAATGCAAACTTGGCTCATTCAAATAATGCATAAACTGAAAATCTTAATAGGTCTAAAACAGGGGTGTCTAAAACAGTGCATTTTCATGGGAGAAATTTAGTCATATCAATATGAATCCATGTGGTCAGATTCTATAGTGGAAAATCTTTTGCCCTCAAGTGAAGTTTCCAACCGTCAAAAACTTGATGGCGAAAGATTTTCCGCTATAGGTTTCTCAGAATCTGAACACAAGGATTCGTATTGAAATGACTGAATTTCACCCATGAAAACTCACTGGACATTGATAACTGTAACTGCGCCTTAAAATGTTTGAAGTAAAATTAATTAAAATGTAATGTGAAAGTATACACTGCATATGTACATAAAAAGACATTAAAAAGGTGTGTATAAATTCAATAATATGGTAGTAAATCTTTATTTAATAATGGACTTAAAATGTAATAGTTTTATGCCAGGGTGTTTCTTGGTCTCTCTCCTTGATTTATAATAATAACTAACTTTTATTACTATTTTTCGGATGATCTTCATTTCCCAGGTCGCTTTGCAGTGCGCGACATGCGTCAAACCGTAGCAGTGGGCGTCATCAAGGGGGTTGAGAAGAAAACCTTGACATCTGGGAAGGTCACTAAATCTGCCCAAAAGGCCCAGAAGAACAAATGAATGTTGTGCTGGGCTGCGAACACTCGGGTCAGCCACACCATCCCTCCTCTTCTCAACTCCATAAACAGAGCTTGGTTAATTATCACAATGCATCGCAAAAGCAGAAGAAGGAAAAGTAAAATTTATGCCTGCTTGACAAAGATTACAATAGTGATAATATGTATATTTATGTTTAATTGTATTTTCTGTTTGAATTTTCAGTCTTCGTTGTGGTATTTGTTCTATTGTTAAATTGTTCTAAGCACTTTAAGCAAATATGCCTCTAGTGGGAGTGTTGAGTAAGCTTTGTTTATCCTGTAGCTTGTGTGCAATATCTAAACCCTCTTGCTAACATTGCTTGTGTAACCTTGCTTGCAATAGTAGCTAACTGTTCCAGCTTGTAGTCCAACAGCTATGAGATTTTATGTTAGTCTGTTATGTTAGTTTGATGTGTTGTGACATAGCTTTATAATTGAAGTTCAGTGTATTTTTCTGTGTGCATGAAGCTAAAGTAGCTAGCGCACTTTACTGTCTACCCTGACAGCGCTCTGAACAAGCATGGGCCATCTTGTTTGCACTTGCACTCATGTACTTTAACGGGAATATGATTCTCCATTATCTAATGTATGTCGGTTCATAACCAGAAATAAAATACATTTGAACTCTGATGCCTGCTTCTAAATTACTAGACAAAGAAAAAACAACAAGAAATTTTCACAGACATCTTTGATGAGGCTTTTGTATTTAAATCATTTAAATCATAATTCATGTATTTAAATAAAATATTTAAGATATTTGAGAGCTCTGACACCAATATTCAGTGCTGGTGCACATGCTAACAAATATTAAATGGACTAAAAACAATTAACTACAAAAAAATTATAATAATAAATATATAATAATTATTAGCAATTATAATAATTTATAATAACCAACTATAATAAATTATTTTTGTAAATATATAATTATTATTTATAATGTATATTGTATAATGATGTATATATACAAAACTAATTAGATTTTAAGTTGGGCTGTGTGAAATGTGGTTGCGGTGTGATCAGAGCTAAAAAAAAAAAAAGACAAGTAATAAAAACAACAACTGATGTAGTACGGAAACTATGAGGTGCTCCTCTCAACATTTAATATGCTTTTTCAAAATGGTACAATTTTCAGCAGCATCAGTTTCCTTCAACGTGTCTGGCACTTTTTTTTTTTACATAAGAAAAGTAAATGACCTTTTAATACAATATGATAAATTCAGAAAGTGTGTCATGTCTTATGTTCTGACACATTTTTCTATTTTTGTCATGTTGTAAATATTGGGTTGATGAGCCATTCTGTAATGAGTCTTTAGACATGCAGTGTTCATGCAGTCCAATGAATAGTTCATGCCATCTCTGATTTTGATAATTTCAGGAGTTTGATTATTAATCTACCACATTCTATTTGATTTTTTAAAAAATGTTACAGTACATTTGAAAAAGAACAATGCATGCAATGATATGTCAAGTACAGTGGCCTATATGAAATAATTTCTTTCAAATAAACCAAACTAATAGAACACGTATAAAAATGATCTAAATTTGTGTTGCCCTCATAAAAATACATATCAATCCAAAATAAAATAAGCTCTCATATCAAAGTTTCATTCCATCAGAGGTGGTTTCTAAGAGTTTGTAACACATTAGAGATTGCGTTATTTGAGTCGAACATGTGTCATGTTCATAGTCTCATTGCTGCCTGTATTGGGCGTATTTCCACTTGCTAGGTTGTGACTAGCACCAGCCGTATTACTTGTCCTAAGCAGCTCGGAGGAGTAGGATGCATCAATGGGGGGCTGGGAGAGAAAGTTGAACCCTTGAGTATGTATCTTATTTGAGGTCTCAAGGTCTCTATCGCTGATGAAGAGATCAGCTTCTCCCCAGCCCCCTACTCCCATCTCAATGCCCCCAGCTGAAGAGTCCTGGCTGCTGCTAACGCTGGTGGAGAAACTAGCCTGACTAGAATGCGTGTTCACACCGAGACCTTCCAGAACAGGCTGCATGAGGTCCTGTACAGAGAGGGACTTCCCAAGCCCTCTGTCCCCACTGCATTGGCCTTGAATCGGGGCAAGAGGAGAGACTGGAGCAAGAGGGTCCATCTCTGCATCCATGCTTATATGTCTCCTCCAAGAACTGTCCTCTTTAGCACTGGGTCTGTTTTTTTGTTGAAGCTTGCAGCTAATACTATAGTTAAGCCCAAAGTCCATCCCGACTCCTCTGAAGTAGGATTTGGAGTAGTCGGTGAAGTCCGACCTAGAGGGTCCCATGCTGCGAACATGGCCTGCTTGTGGAGGAACAGAAGAAAGTTGAAGCTTTGAAGAGGCTTGGGATGGAAGAGGTGGAGTTGGTTGACCGACACATGGAAAGTGGCCTACAGAAGAGTGAAAACTGTTGGCACTGAAGATTTGAGAAGGGCTCCCTTGTGCTGATGGACAGTCCATGGATGGGGTTGAAGGAACCTGGAAGGTTGATGGGCTAAAAGGTGAGGCAGAGGCCGGATTGAGCCCAGGAGATGATGTTGTGGAGTTGTTCTGGTTGAGGTTGAGTTCGTTGGGGGCTAAGATTAATTGGAGGGCTCTGGGGTGATTACCACAGATGGACTCGCTGATCTGGGAGGAGCAAGAGAGATCCTTACTGAGGATGGTGCTCGGATAGTCTGAAGTCTCCTCTAACCCAAAAGGAGGAAGAGGGGAGAGAGTGAAGGCAGAGGAAGAACCCTTCTGCAGAACCTGACGGTAGATGTCCAGCAAGGAGTCCACCTTAGCTTCAATAGACTGTACCTATAGAGATGGAACATAGAAATACTGTTTGTTAGAATACATGGGTTATGTTTAATACAGTGGTTCTTCATTAAAAACGGTTAAAGGGAAAATAAATATCTTGATTTTGTGTTTTTTTGCATTTTAATTTAGATTAGAGTTTGCTAAGGCCCACTGGTTTAGTATTATGTTTAATATGATAATTTATAAACATGAGACAATGACATTAGAAAAACAACAAAACTCAAGGTAAATATTTCTGAACAGGATATTATATTGTAATTTGTGTAATTTCCATTCAAACATGTAAAAATGTAATATACTTGTGTGTATTTAGGACACTGTCATGATACCCTGCCGGAAGGAATGAAAGAGCCATGGATAAACGAAAATGTAATTTATTAAATTCAACACACAGGGTAAATCCACACTTGGAAGGGAAGGAAGAAACACATACAGAACTGGTAGGCCCGACAAACACAGACTGAACGGACTAGGGCTTACATACACAGGATAATGAGGGAATCGGGAGGAACACAGGTGAACAGAATGACTAATTAAGAGACAATGAGAACAGGAGCAGCAACAGGAACGACCAAATAAGGGCACATGAGGGAGAAACTGGGTCACGGGGAGCACATGGGGAGCAAAACACAACACAGTCCAATCCTGACATTTCGCCCCCCTCCCGGAAGGTGAGTCCTCGCACCGTAGAACCAACAGAGGGAGGGGTGGGAACTGGGAGGAGGCTCAGGAGGAGGACAGACACCCGGGAGGGGGCCGGCAGATAGAGTCTAGGGAGGTCACAACAGAGAGAGGAGCCAAGGAAGAAACAGGAGGAGCCAGGGCGGATCAGACGGAGGAAGGAGCCAGGTTGATGACAGGAGGGACTTGGACCATGCAGCGCTAGGTGGGACCCAGGCCACAGCCATAATGGTGACCCACGGTGGAGCCGACGGAGGGAGGAGCCATGGAGGTGGAAGGGGTGATGACTCCAGACAGTCCCGAGACGACGGATGGTCAACGACAGACCAAGGTGGAGCCGGAGGGACGAGGGAGCCCAGTGGACTGATGGGTCATGGTGGACAGGAGGGAGCTAGGAGCCATGGTGGAGCCGAGGTGTAATCCGGGGCTTAGGGGCTGGAGGCGGAGGCCAGGGATTCTGCAGCCACGGTGACGATGGAGGATGGCAGACCCGAGGAGCTCGCACCGTACTGATGGTGGGCTAAGGGCAAGCAGAGGGGCTGCCAGACGACAGCGGTGGAGGAGGCAGGATTGGGTGGGTGGTCGGGCATTTGAGAGCCTCTGGGCTCTTCGGGCTTAACTTGGGAACAGGAGCCCTCTCTGGGCTGGACATGGAAACAGGAACGGGAGGGACAGAGGTCACCGATGGAGGAGGGAGGAAAAAGGGGGCAGGTTGGTATACAAATCAATTAAGTCTCTTTCCACTTTTCCTTTACCCAGATCCTTAGACAGCTCACCATCAGCCATGGTGCAGGGGGCGGAGCTCCTCTCCGCACTCTCACTGTTCATGACGCTCTCCCCTGTGGCGAGCTCTGTAGCCGGCTCTCGCACCTGGTCTGACGTCACAGGCTCGGGCTCCGGAGCAATCCTCAGCACTGTAGCTCTCTCTGGCGATGGCTCGTCAGTTGCAGTGGGCTTGGGCTTAAGCTCCGCGCAGTGGGGTGATGGTGGGCTGGGCTTTGGGACTGGCTGTGTTCTGGATCTGGGGTAGACGCTCATCTAGATCCGCACAGTCCGGTGGTGTCTGGGAGGTTGACGGGGCGGTAGTAGTTGGCCACGATCCAGAACTAGTGATGGGCGCATTCGAAACACTGCTTCATGAAACTTTGAAACATTTGTGAATCTTTTGTTTCGAATCAGTGTTTCGGAGCACGTATCAAACCGGCCAGGTCACGTGATTTTAGCAAACGAAGCTTTGTTTTGTCACACTGTTTTGAAACGTTTCGAAACTCCGATGGTTCACCACTAGGGGGTGTTGATCTCAAAGTGAACCCATGAACCACTTCTGGTTGCCCAGTTAATTATATGACATGAAATCCCATGAAATTTAGGTATAAAAAACAAAGAATTCAGGGCCAGATGTTGTGGGTTAAACAAAAGATAACTTCCCTTTAACACAGAGGGCTATATAGTTTTAAAAATGTGTAAAAACATTCAGTACTTTCAACCTACAAATCACATCATACCTAAAAAAATAACAAAATGAGCTTACGATAGAATTAAATCCACCTCCTTCTCCTGACTGATAACACTACTCTTGCCTGCTGGTTTTTATTGACTGCTCTAATGAAAACACTTAATTAAATTATTACATAAATCAATTAATTAATTAAATAATTAATTATATAGTTCATTGTGTGTTAAGGGTTTGATTATACTTAAAACACGTAACACACGCACTAATATTTAAGTGTTTATTATTTATTTAAAAAAATTATATTTCTAAAAAAAAAAATTCCATTTGTTTCATAAGTTTGGTCTGAGTTCTTGATGCTTTTACAACGGTTTCACCCGCAGGCGTCACCAGCATGTGCTGTTTCAAGTGTTTCGAAACATGGAATCATTTTTCTAAACAATTGGTTCAATTGATTCAATACTTCGAAAAGCTTAGCTTCTCCCATCACTACCCAGAACAGGGAGTTCAGCGCAGTATCGTCAAATGCCTGAAAACGGCGAGCTGGCTGAACTCCACAGCATACTCCAAGAGGGAAAGGTCCTTGCGGGTGAGGGAGGTAAACTTGACAGTGAGGGAATCCATGGGGAAGGAAACACTAAAGAAACAAAAAACACTGAATGGAAAACGGAAAACAAATGGAGGGGAGACACATAGTTAAACAGTTTGTAGGTCGGGTCTTCTGTCACGATATGCTGCCGGAAGGAACGAAAGAGCCATGGATAAACGAAACTGTCATTTATTAAATCCAACACACAGGGTAAATCCACACTTGGAAGGGAAGGAAGACACATGTACACAACTGGTAGACCCGACAAACACAGACTGTACAGACTGGAGCTTAAATACACAGGATAACGAGGGAATTGGGAGGAACACAGGTGAACAGAATGACTAATTAAGAGACAACGAGGACAGGAACAGGAACGACCAAATAAGGACACATGAGGGAGAAACTGTGTCACGGGGAGCACATGGGGAGCAAAACGCAACAAAGACAGTCCAATCCTGACAGATACAAGCTATGAAAATAGCCTTATCGTTGGCCATTTTTATTTCAATAATGTTAAACAAATCCATCACCATCAATTTCACCCCATAATATTATTAAACACAATTCATCTTTAGAAACAGAAATGACACTCTGGTGGCAATTTACATAACTTAAAAAAAAAAAAAAAAGTAATGTCCATAGATGGTCCATAAACTAGTGGGAGTAAGAAAAGTGTGTTTTAACTGACTTTATTTTCTAAAAGTCCACAGCGCTAAAACTGCCCATAGTTGAAGAAACAAACACCTAAAAACCTGTGCAGTATTCAAAGATTCAATGAAATATGAATTGATTCAGTGTGACATGTCAGTACGTAAAATCCTGTTTAACCGAGTGTTTCTAAACTCACCTGTCTTTCTACCTTACACACCCTTCCAAGCATGCTCACGTCTTCCAGAATGTCTCCATCAGATAACAGCTTTTCTCTGACCTTCTTATCCATAGGCATCTGGCCCCTACCAAGAATCTGATCCACCCTAAAAGTGAGAGACAGATGTTATCAAAAAGACAGGAATTAAATGTGTGAAAAGAAATAAAGATTCACATCCCAAATGAGCAGACAGAGAATTGAGAGAAACTATAATGACACTTTAGAAATTGCTACTATTAGCAAACCAGATTCAAGTTTTCAATTTTTCTTGTACATTAAAATGTGATGAATTCAAAATTATATAGACTTTCTGTTCATTTAGACTATGAAGAAAGCCAGGAACTGTGATGTTCTGTTTTGGTCACATGGAGGCACTGGTCTCCCTTATATTGTAAACCTTGATCATTTGACTCCATAGGCTTCAGTGATAAAATAAAATACTTTTTTTTTTAAGTGACAAGAAGACCTGCCATGGTTATGAAGAGAAAAATGGCTTGAAAAGAGATACTTGGCATACAATGGTTTACTTATTTTTTACTTTTTATATTAGACTACATATCAATTCCCAAGGTTTTTTGAGATAGCAAAATGTCCACTTATTACATATTTCAGAATCTCAGCATATCCGTCAATATGTCTTCCAAATATTCTAACTGATCATGAATACGGAGTAACTAGACATTCTACACATTTGACATTTTCCCCATATGTAGCAAGGCAGTACACATATTCAAAGAGTTTTTTGAGTAAAAAATTTACTGTATGTACATTTAATGATACATTGCAATAATTATATATAGCTTCTCAAATACGCCACATCCCATTGTTTGGCAGAACCCCAGGGCTTGGCCACCACCCAGTGACCCATATGTGACCCATATATGACCAAGGAGAAGCACTGCCTCAGGGGCATCAGAACAGCTGTGACATGATGACATTAATGTGAAGTCAACATACCAGTGCGGATATGATATAGATGTTATGAATGCGGCTGCTAATTATCTTTAAATGTCACTGTTGAGTAAATGTTTTAATTCACATAGTATGCAACACAGACTGATGTTCAAACTGATGTTACACAAGATGAATGTTCTTGATGAATCAAATTCTTGATTGCCTGCGCCATTATTAACCTCTGTTGATTGGGCTGCATGTTTAGAAATGCGTGTTGCTGCTCTTTTTAAATATATGAACATTGAATGTTATGCGTTACAGGTGAAAGTGTTGATTTATAATGAGTATGCTGCAATGTGTTTTGATTAGCTGTGTATCAGGTATGACCTCTGTTCCTAATGTGCTATTAGCTGTAATTTATATGTAAAGAGAGAATGCCTAGTGATTAGTACATAAACATGCTTCATTTTGCGCTCGTGGGTGGTGCAATTCAAGTTTAAACCCTTCCTTTTCCTATCACTTCAAGTGGCAAAAAGTACCTGCTGTACATGTGGACCTGTTGTAAAGCAGCTGTAAAAAACTATTTATGTCATTATTTAGCTCAAGAGTGTTAATCGATCAACTATAGGCAGTTCGACAATAGGCTCCAATGTTGTTATTCAGCTTGAGTCAGAGTTGATATTGCAAGATGCGATTCAGCTGTAAAGTAGCTCTACAGAAAACAGTAGTGTCAAATTTTGCTCTCATCTGATGGTGTCAGTCAGTGTGGTTGTATTGATACATTTCTGAAAGCTAAGTGTCTTTCAGACCCCAACTAAGCAAACAAGAAGGTGACAGTGGCGAGGAACCCAAACTTCATCAGGTGTCACAAATGAAGACAAAAACTTCAGGAGAAACCAGGCTCAGTTTGTGGACCAGTTCTCCTCTGGCTTACAGATTAAGCTTAAAAACAAATTAGGATTTACAAAAACTCCATTTTTGTAAAGCCATTCACCATACTAGTGGACATTTGTTCTTTGTGGTCATTAACAGCAAAGTGCTTTCTTACAGTCGTCCACTTGTTTCAGTTCATCAGAAGTTTCATGTACTGAAGTCTACATGTGTGTATTCTGTAAATCAATATTTTGGGGTTGGTAAGATTTCTCTGGGGTTGGTTAAGAAGTGTCTTCTGCTCACCAAGGCTGCATTTATTTGTTCAAAACTACAGATAAACAGTTATATTGTAAAATCCTGCTACAACAGTCTTTTTTTCTCTATTTTAATATATTTTTTAAATGTAGGCTAATCTAGTCCTCTTATGGCAAAGCTGAATTTTCAGAAGACATTTTGTGTAAACCATCACACTTTTTTTTTTCAGGATTCTTTGATGAATAGAAATGGAAATCTTTCCACCATTATAAATGTATTTACGGTCACTTTTGACAATTTAATGCATTTTGTGGGAACAAAGTACATACATAAAAAAAAAAAAAACTTTTGCATATGGTGGAAAAACATGTTTGGACAGTAGTTGGGTTGTCCTACCTGGTTTGCAGACTTTTAATTCGGCAGAGCATGTCCAGATGACCGGCTGAATATTGCTCTATTACATCCTTTACATCATATGGGCGCAGAGTTTCCTTAAAATTCTTCTTCGCCACATGAAATTTCATGATCCTGCAAAACCATATGCTAATGTTATTCTTCCTTTGAAGTCTTATGAAGCCCAAAACAGATATGTGAGCGCTAATATTTAAAGTGTGAATGTGTCTTGTTCTTTTGAGCACAATACAGTGAATGATAATATAAAGGACACTGAACTAACTGACGCTTTTTCGACTATATTAATGAAAAAAAAAAAAAAAACCTTGATCCAATATATTACAAATCAAATTATTTGCAGTTTACATTTGGGGTGACTCAGAATAACCACAGCAATGTTTCTGAAAGGTGATCAAATGACAGCATAGACAAATCCCACACCCTGAGAAAGTCTGAGCTTGGCGTCACACACATGACAGTCCAACCAGACCCCAGCTGAGAGCTACAGGGCTACCACAGCATTTCGCCTACAGCCTGGAATATTCAGTGAAGCAGTTAATTTTTCATTCCTCATAATAAAAGCGAAAGTGAGAGGCTGGAAAAGATGAGCACATACTGTCAATCTAGCACTCAGTTTTCCACTGACCCACACATACTAGACGAAAAAAAAATAAAAGAGCATGGTTGATGTGTGTGAAGTGTGAACAGCATGACAGTATTCTTTTGTGATAGTGAAATTATATACATTTGACTAAATGTCATCTCATGCTCTCAGTGGCTGGGAGTATAATTAAATAAGACAGTGTCGTTTTCATTAAAAGGTGATGGGCATATTTTTGTGTATTTATGCTAGGCTATAGAGTTTAAGTAAACCTTTTGTAGTTTGATTTCTCAAAAAATTGTAAACACTGCGGCTCTGTTGTGCTGTCAAACATTGCACTCTTTGCTTGAGGCCTGTACCACAAAGTAGGTTTAAGCAGCGAGCGAGGCAATTTCGAGTTTAGTTTGGGCTAATAATGGATTTTATGAACCACACAGGTGAATAGGTAGTCAGGTAAATATTTACTTTGTTGCTTTAAAACATTGCATTTTTGCATTTCAGACTACAGTTGAGTATTTCGGTGTATTGAGCCTTATTGGTGAGGCAAATCACTTATTTTGTCAGAATCAGTGGCAAAATCAGGCAGCATTTAAAGGAATAGTTCACTCAAAAATGAAAACGTGTGCCCAAAATGTACTCAGGAGTAGATGAGTTTGTTTCTTCACAGGAACAGAATTGGAGAATTTTAGCATTACATCACTTGCTCACCGATGGATCCTTTGCAGTGAATGGGTGCCGTCAGAATGAGAGTCCAAACATCTGATAAAAAACATCAAAATAATCCACAAACAATCCACATGACTCCAGTCCATCAATTAACGTCTTGTAAAGCGAAAAGCTGCATGTTTGTAAGAAACAAATCCATCATTACTACGTTTTAACATGCTGTTAAAACCGGTGCCTCCATCCATTATCCATAATAACGCTTCCTGCAGAGAAATATGCACAGATCAAGCACCTTTTACAAGCCAAAAAAGTTATAAACAAATATTTGGGTGGATTTTGATGTTAGAGGACAACAGAGAATGGACTTTTTCACTGGAGGATGGGTTATTATGCATTATGGACTATGGAAGCAACGGTTTAAAGTTGAAAACATCTTCATGAATTTGTTTCTTACAAGCATGCAGCTTTTCACTTTACTTAACTGATGGACTAAAGTTGTGTTAATGACTTCTGTATTACTGTGATTTTTTAATCAGCTGTTTGGGCTTTCATTCTGGTGGCACCCGTTTACTGCAGAGAATCTATTGGTGAGCCAGTGATGTTTTCAAAACACTTTTGTGTGCACACACTTGTGGACTAGTCACAAATTTAGGATCAAACCCTGATAAAATTATAAAGAACATTGTGGTATGCTTAGCCAGGTTATATTTGTTTGGGTTTAAAACTAAAAGCGGTTACATAACCTTGAGTTTGTTCAATTTGTTTTGTGACATATTGAACAGACACCAGTCCAACAAAGCAACACTGGCTCAACCATTTGTGTTGTTTGTGCCACAAAAAACTATGTGCTGAAACCTTTCGCGCACAGAAAAGTATTCTCGTAGCTTCGTATAATTGCAGTTGAACCACTGATGTCACATGGATTATTTTACAGATCTCCTTGCTACGTCTCTGGACTATCGTATCTGAACATTTCAGTTGTGTTGCGGTCTATGCAGGGTCAGACAGCTCTCAGATTCCATCAGAAATATCTTAATTTGTGTTCCGAATATGAACGAAGGTCTTACGGGTTTGAAACGACATGAGGGTGAGTAATTAATGACATAATTTTCATTTTTGGGTGAACTATCCCTTTAATGAATTTATATCATTATCACTGATAGCTCATCAAATGCTGAACTTTAATTGTAATGTCTCGGCATTCTGAAATACTGCAGCATTGAGAGAAGTGAACTGAAGTGAAATATCGCTGCTCTTACCTCACTGCTCTGATGACGGTCTTCAGCGCGGGCGGCAGGTCCTCTGCTGACATGTCACAGTGACACCCTTTCTCATCAAAAGCCTCATCAACACCAACGTTAGCCTCACCTATGACACACACAATGAAAATTTCAATTACTAAAGTGCATAAAGAAAGGAGAAATTATGTGAAAACCATCACCAAATGAAAAGAATTGGCGGAAAATTGAGTGATAAGCAAGAAAAAAAGCATTAATTTTTCATAAAAAAATCTTAAAAAAAAATCTTTGGTTCAATCTGGCAAGAGGGTCTCCTATTCAAAGCAAAATCTGAGGAAAAATGCAGCAATTGCGAATGAATATAAACTAATGAAGTAGTGCAGGTCAAACTGAATTGAAACTGAACAATTTTACAGTACGTGTACTAAAATACATTTCTAAGAACATGCAGAATTTTAAGTCCATCAGTGTAAACAATAAAAAGTACACATTTTCACAGGTCCTCATGTTGTAAATCACTCTTGTTAAAATATATATATATATTTATGCCTGTTCTTCTGAGCTAGCATGTCACATTACATTTCTGTGAATTTTACAACTGGAAGCACTACTTTATACAATCGTCTAAAATGGTAATAGTTCATATTTTCTGTGTAAAAAAGAGGTGAATGTAGACTCAAGTGCATTTCTGCAGCTACTTTATAAAAGGTTCTATGGCTACAGCTATGATGTAAAGCAGAGACTGGAAAGGAAGTGGTGTGTTGGATGCACACACAGGATTATTCGTGCCCTATGCTACTTCAAGGATTCTCAAAACCTGACTAGAGAGGCTGCAATCGATCAGTTCAAGATATTTACAGCCACAGGGCATCAGTGAGGAAGGAATATATGCTTCTGGCTAAAATCAGAAGGTTTTCAGTTAGTGCTTTGAGTTATGCTACTTCTTGAAAAGTTCAATTATTTATTATCTTCCCATATGTTACCACACTCACTAGATGTTCACGGGGCCCTAACAAGCCCATCTCCCCCCCCACAAAATTCAGTGATGCAACACTCTTTAAACACATAATCCAGTGATTAGAATATGTTTGTTAACTGAAATAATAAAATAATAAAGGAATAATAAAGGAATAGTTAAACTCTGTACTGAAATTTTACTCACCCTCAGGCCATCCAAGATGTAGATGAATTTGTTTCTTCTAAACAGATTTGGAGAAATTAGGCATTGCATCACTTGCACACCAAATGTCCATCCCCTGTTGTCCTCACATCAAAATCCACCCACATATTCGTTCAGAACTGTTTTGGCCTGTTTTAGCTTGTAAATAGTGCATGATCTGCATATTTCTCTCCCGATTCTTTACTTTTCAATGACTTTTTCACTGGAGAAAGAAATATTATGGACTGGTATTTTAGTCAGAAGCAACGGTTTAAAGTTAAAATGTTATAATGATGGATTTGTTTCTTACAAACATGCAGATTTTCACTTTAACTAATAAACTGGAGTTGTGTGGATTATTGTGATGTTTTTATCAGCTGTTTGGACTCTCATTCTGACTGCAGAGGATCCATTGGTGAGCAAGTAAAGTAATGCTAAATGTCTCCAAATCTGTTCCCATGAAAAACAAACTCATCTTAAAAAGATGAAAATTTAAAAAAAAAAATGTATCCCATCCTAAGTGCACACACTGTGAACACACACCCGGAGCAGTAGGCAGCCATTTATGCTACGGCACCCGGGGAGCAGGGGTTCAGTGTCTTGCTCAAGGGCACCTCAGTCATGGTATTGAAGGTGGAAGAGAGCACTGTACATTCACTCCCCCCACCTACAATTCCAGCCGGACCTGAAAAAAAAAAAATGTATCCCATCCTAAGTGCACACACTGTGAACACATACCCGGAGCAGTGGGCAGCCATTTATGCTACGGCACCCGGGGAGCAGGGGTTCAATGCCTTGCTCAAGGGCACCTCAGTCATGGTACTGAAGGTGGAAGAGAGCACTGTACATTCACTCCCCCCACCTACAATTCCAGCCGGACCTGAGAATTGAACTCGCAACCTTTGGGTTATGAGTCTGACTCTCTAACCATTAGGCCACGACTTCCCCCATCTTGTTCATGTTTTATTAAATTAATTTTTTTAAATAAATAAATAGTGGCTGAAAAATATAAATAAAATAAGAAAACTCAAATTATTATAATATAATTAGAATTTAATAAAAATAAAAACAAATTTTTTTGTAGTCATTGAGTACTCATGGTGAATAAATTGACCTGTGTGTCTGAGTGGGAGAAGACATCCCACCTGCAGATGGCGATATGACGTACTGTATGATGCCACTAAGATTTGTACATACATACTGTACAAAGACAGGCACAAAAGGAACTGAATGATTGGTTATATTTACATATAAACCTTGTTATATTTTGTTACTTTGTTACGTGCATGTTTGTTTTATTCATATATGATCATGAAGCAGAAATGAAACTTCTGAAGATGTTGCTGGGAATCAGAGAAGGGGATTCTCATGCATATTAGACTGTAGTACATGTAAATGCTTGTAGCTATTCGTTGTGGATCTCCTGCTTGTTTCCTGAAAGTGCTTCACATCTTAGACACAGAAGCACATTAAGACACTTAAAGTTGGGTAATAATTTTTCATTAACCATTTGACTAAATGCTTCTGATTTTATAATGTAGCTTATATGATATCTACTGCCTTATAGCTTTCCCACAGGATAAAGACTTCAGATTAATTCTAAATAATATCATAGAACAGTTGATTCTACTTTGGCTTCATTTGTAAGTATTTACATTTGTGAATCAAAGACAAAGTAACTGCCAATATTGTGTCTCAAATTCAACTCCACATTGACTTCTTTTCAGTTTACTGAACTTTTGTATAAAAAACAATAACACATTTGCAGGCCTCTGCTGCCCTCCTGCCATTGGTTCAATTAACAAATTCATTAAACCCAATTCTAATCACATCAACACATGGCATGCTTACACACTGATAATCTGCTTTAAACAAAGAAAAAAAAAGGAAAGAAGGAATGAGGAAAGAAACAGATCCTAGTTTAGTCAATGGCCTTTGGGACCCAATCAGAAAAATATGGACTCACATGGCAACCATGACACCTTTGCTAGACCAGATAGATTTTACAACCTAATGGCATGATGAGAGTCCTCACTCTCACTACATTTTCCATAGGAAAGACTCATAATGCACAGCAAAATGGACTCTTCTATAGTCCAGAAACCTTTCTGTGAATGAACACACATATCCTTCAGGTCATTGCGTATATTATTGCTGTCTTGTATATTGTCTGTTGCATTGTAGACTATTTTATGCATGCTTATTACTGCTTAAGCTTTAACCCTTTCCTATACCAACTGAATGCGTGTGTGTGTATGTTAGACTAGTTTCAGTGTTATGTAGTATGTTAGACTAGTTTAAGTGTTTATGTAGTTAATAAAGTCTTACTTGTATCACACTTGACGTTGTTCATTGTTTGCTCATAACTGGAGTCCCTAATCATGCAGATTTATGCTACAGGCTCTGTGTAGAGTTGTACAGTAAGAAAGTTATTTCCCTTTACCAGGAAATTAACGTTCTTAGAATAGAATATCTATCTATCTATCTATCTATCTATCTATCCATCTTAATTGATTTACTTCAATGTGGCTTGAAAAAAAAATTTCCCCTTGATTACAAATATGTTGAAATAATTATTCAGAGTGAGTTTAACGGTTCTCTTATTGCATGAAATGTGAGTAATGAAATGCATTTTTCATGCATGGCTATTTACATGGCACATGGTCAACACTGTAGATCATCTTTGCTAATTTCAGTTATTAAATTCCCTAACGATGAATATTATTTAGTCACAGATGAATTTAGAGATGTTCACAGTTCTCCGATGCAGAGTCCAGATCAAGTCTTTAAAGGTCAAGTTTAAGCCAAACCTAATTTATGGCGAAACTTATGTGAAATCTATACCAACTGAATGCGTGTGTGTGTATGTTAGACTAGTTTCAGCGTTATGTAGTATGTTAGACTAGTTTAAGTGTTTATGTAGTTAATAAAGTCTTACTTGTATCACACTTGACGTTGTTCATTGTTTGCTCATAACTGGAGTCCCTAATCATGCAGATTTATGCTACAGGCTCTGTGTAGAGTTGTACAGTAAGAAAGTTATTTCCCTTTACCAGGAAATTAACGTTCTTAGAATAGAATATCTATCTATCTATCTATCTATCTATCCATCTTAATTGGTTTACTTCAATGTGGCTTGAAAAAAAAATTTCCCCTTGATTACAAATATGTTGAAATAATTATTCAGAGTGAGTTTAACGGTTCTCTTATTGCATGAAATGTGAGTAATGAAATGCATTTTTCATGCATGGCTATTTACATGGCACATGGTCAACACTGTAGATCATCTTTGCTAATTTCAGTTATTAAATTCCCTAACGATGAATATTATTTAGTCACAGATGAATTTAGAGATGTTCACAGTTCTCCGATGCAGAGTCCAGATCAAGTCTTTAAAGGTCAAGTTTAAGCCAAACCTAATTTATGGCGAAACTTATGTGAAATTTTGCAGGCAAAAAAACGTGACTTATCTATTGTCAATAGTGTAGCAATGCATTAAGCACTGCTCACATAAAGGTCACTTTCAAACCAAACAGCTTTCTGTTGGTCAATCCGATGAAATTACGTGACCAACTTAAACTCAATGCGAAATCCATGAGTGGAAATTTTGTAGCATTCATTGGAAACTCGCTAATGTGCAGATTTCTATTGAAATACATACAATAACACAACATTGCATCGAGCAACAGTAAATGTGACCACACTTTTGGGGTCAGATTTACTAACAGCGTGCACCAGCGCAAACACATGAGAGTTCTATAGAACACTCATGAGAAATCATTATCTGTATTCAGTTTAAGAGAAAATACACTGCAGACCTCTCTATTTCAGAGAAAACAATAGGACAGACAGCTGAGCATGAGTCAGAGAAAAGAGCAGCGGCCACTCAAAAATGCAGCACTGCAGTGAGTCATCCACTTCTGTTCAATAATGTCACATTAGCAACCATACTAATTATGGTATCATTGCCTCTTGGTCATTGATGAGCACTGCATCATAAATGAGTGGATGGATGGTCGTTTCACACAAACAACTGGTCAGAACCCCCAGAAACACCATTTCCAAACACTCTTTGAAATGTTCACTCTCTGACAATTGTTACAGACAAACAGACGAATTTCATTTATTTGTTCTGCACTTAATACATTCATAATGACGTGGAAATGATTTTGTCTGGCCTTATACTGGCCACACTATTATGGCTCAATTTGAAGTTCTATCTTAGTAATTATGCAAATAACACCACTAGCTCTTCCTGTTATCTGGACTGATGAGACTATGCATTAGTCGCTGCTGTGTAATGCAGTCATTCAAACAGTCTGACTTTTCTCATTATTTCTCTCTCTAATTGAAGTCAAGGCACCCGATAATCACATTTGTCTGGTAAGTGACAAAACATGAAAACATGAATAAATCTAAATTATTTGCTATTCCATATTCCATTACATCTGTTTAATGTATACATAACTGATGAAAATTAGAGTGCACTTCATAACAGATGGCAGTAAACAGTCTCAGACATCAGAGGGAAGATGATTTTGTGTTAGCTGAACTACTGATCAAACATGGAAGCCTGTTTCCTTCTCAAAAGAAAATGTAAAAAAGTAATCGTGAGATGAAGCTTCAAAAAATAAATAAAGTCTATAAAGTTGCAATTGCAAGAAACAAAGCCATAAGTGAAAGTTACCTGAATAAAGTCAAACCGCAAATCACACTGTAAGATATAAAGTCAAAATTTCACAAAATTGATGTCACAGTTGTGAAATATTAAGTCACATTTTGAGATTTAAAGTCTCAGTTAAAATATATAAACTCACAAATATTAGAACTATAGTTGGAATTACAATAAATAAAGCCTTGTTTTTATGATAGAAAGTAACATTGTGAGAGAAAGTCGCAATTTACCTTTTTATTTTTAATTTCAAGGAAGAAACAGGCTTCCATAGTCAAATGAGGTTTAACACAAGCATAACAACAGCAATGTTTCAAATTCTGTCTCAGTCGTAAATTATTTATAGTATAGAGTATATAAGATATGGAACAATACATACCTTGTAGATGACTCTCCTTGATCCTTCCTTTGGGTGGTGTAGAAAGAGAAATACATAAAAGTTTTTAATGAATCTTCAGTAGACAATAAACTACACATGACACAGTTTCAGATTCACTGGATCCAGTTTGTACAACATGCATACTAATGCATCAAAAGCAACAGCCAGTTCAAATGCATAATGCATGGATAAATGCAACCATTAGCATATACATGCATATCACAACATGCAGTATATTGCATGACATTCAATAGCTCAAGCAAACAAATGTGCCATATTTGAAGCCCTACTAAATTACTAGTTTATTCTCTGTGTATTTATAGTATTGCTTTTTAGCAGGTCTATTTACATTTCATGGTCCTATGTGATATACGTGCATATATGAATGACAAGCCAAAGGTGCTGAAGTCTTTTTCTTAATCAGTTAGACAATTTGACTGCTGCTATTACTATTTACCAAGACGGAGGACTGTTCATGCACTTCATCTATAATTGGGCCATTATAACAGAATGTGGGCATCAATGTGAAATGGAGAGAAACATTACTGTCCATTCGCATCATTTTTTCCCTTTCACATTGAGAGAAAGACTGCAATCAGGTGATTTCATGGACAGCTAGCCCTCCATTAGACCTGTTATTGTCTGTAACAATAGATCCTGGTTTATAATGATTTTTGTGGATGACTATGAACATATCAGATAAATCCGAAATGGACAATGTACTTTTTTGAATCTTGTAATGAAGAGGACGTGAAAAGAAGAATGGAACGTGTGGGATGCAGGCACAATTATGTTACACGGGGGAATCAAACAAATAGAGAGAAAGAGGAAAGTTTTCCTCTGTGGAAATATAATGAATGAAGCCAGGGATAGACAGGAGATGCTGCCAGGGGTTTGTACCTACTTTGTAGGACTGCAGGTATGCAACGCCTTCAAATGAGGTTTCCAGGTAGCAACGGAAACCGAGTTCTCATCAGCCGCATAGCTACGCCACACACACTACATGCAAAAATATATAAAACCAAAAGAACAAAGGATAAAGGAAGAAGAGGAAAAAAGAGAAGAAGAACAAGCCCATAGAAGAGAAAGAGAAGAAAAAACAAAACAAAAAGGAAAAAAAGCAGATTAGTAAAAAAACTACACAGGTTTTTTCGGTCAGAGCAGGCACCCATACATGCCTCAGGACAGGGACTGTAGACTCATAGTGACGCCAAGTGGCCTCAAGGTAAGGACGACTACCATCGGTGGAGTAATATCGCCACGCAGCCTTATTCAGGGTTAGGGAGAGTAAAACATTGTAAGCAGAAATATAAAGCACACACACACACACACACACACACACACAGGAAATTGATTTGTGGGTTTATGACTGAAGTGCAATTTTGTTAACTATTATTGACGGGGAGTCTTGCATTACACACACACAGGTATTCCTATCATTATGGGGACATTCTATAGGTGTAACGGTTTTTCTACTGTACAAACTGTATTTTCTTTCCCCTTACCCTAACCCTAAACCTACACCACACACAAAACTTTCTGCTATTTTAGAATTTCAAAACACTTCATTCTATATGATTTATAAGCTGTTTTCCTCAAGGGGACAAAAAAAAAGTCCCCACAAGGTCAAAATTTACTGGTATTACTGTACTTGTGAGGACGTTTGGTCCTCATAATTTAGGGAGTGCCAGGTACACACACACACACACACACACACACACACATACACACACACACATACACACACACACACACACAGTTTACAGGGACTCTCTATAGGCGTAACACACAGGTTTCCATGTTTTATGAGGACAATTCCCCAATGCATTTTGCAACAGACTCTTAATTAGTGGTATCAAAACCAAATCTGTCCATATTAAAACCAGCATGTCCAAGCAAATAAAGTCTCTTTGCTGTGAAGTGAACCATATTTGTCTGTTAGGTAAGACTATCTGCAGTCTCAGCCATTTCATTGTGGTGCATTCAGACACAAATAACAGTTATATAAAAATATATGAGACCATTAGCAAACAGTCATTAGCAAACAGCAAACAGACCATTAGCAAACAGTACTCAGTGGCATGATATTTACCATGAAAATCTGTCATAAAAATGACACTATACCAAATTCTATTGTAAAGGATTGTGTAATATCCCCAAATGTGAGGGCAGATGTAATAACTCTGGTGTCTGACCTGTATGAGGCAGGCAGCAGGGTTCCTTCTCTTCTCAAAGTGCTCACACACACATACACACACACACACACACATTCTTGCATATGTGGTTTACAGGGACTCTCTATAGGCGTAACACACAGGTTTCCATGTTTTATGAGGACAATTCCCCAATGCATTTTGCAACAGACTCTTAATTAGTGGTATCAAAACCAAATCTGTCCATATTAAAACCAGCATGTCCAAGCAAATAAAGTCTCTTTGCTGTGAAGTGAACCATATTTGTCTGTTAGGTAAGACTATCTGCAGTCTCAGCCATTTCATTGTGGTGCATTCAGACACAAATAACAGTTATATAAAAATATATGAGACCATTAGCAAACAGTCATTAGCAAACAGCAAACAGACCATTAGCAAACAGTACTCAGTGGCATGATATTTACCATGAAAATCTGTCATAAAAATGACACTATACCAAATTCTATTGTAAAGGATTGTGTAATATCCCCAAATGTGAGGGCAGATGTAATAACTCAATGCTTCGACCTGTATGAGGCAGGCAGCAGGGTTCCTTCTCTTCTCAAAGTGCTTCTGTCTGTGCTGTTCTTGAACCTTCAGGGCAAAACCTGAACCCAAAATACCCTGCAATGCAAGTAAAGTAGAACCATGTCACTAATGCTATAGTTTAGAATTAGACAATAGGACTGTAGGATGCACTCATGCTAGCAGCTCTTTGTAAAAGCACTTTCCACTATCAACAAGCAACAGTATTATATTGTATGTTCACATTAACATACAATATATGTATTAACATATTGTCACACTGAATTCTTACAAAGTTTGTTTTATTACTACAATTTAAGAAGTACAACTAGGGATAGTTCACACAAAAATGACAATTCTGTCATGAATTACTCACCCTCATGTCAATCCAAACCCTCTTGTCTTGGGGGTAAGTAATTAATGACAGAATTTCATTTTTGGGTGAACTATCCCTTTAAGTAGTTATTTAAGAAGCTAGCAAAAACAATGTTAAGTACCATGAAGCTTGCAGCCAGGAAGTTATAGCTTTAATTTAACTAATATGAGTGGTCAAACTCAGCTCCCTCAACGTTTTATCATTTCATGATCAAAAAGTGGAAGTGGGGTGAGCTGTTTAATTCGAAATTAGAACATCCATTTCCACCATTTCCATCAACTCATTTAGGCTGATTAGTAAATTTGGCTGGAAACCTTGTTGCTCTGACAGGGTAATCAGCCAAACTGCCTTTGCATTTCACAAAGACACCAAATAAAATTCTGCTTTAGGAAAATTTAGCATCCAGAAATAAGATTTCACTGTGTACTGAAGGCTAAAAACCAAGAAGAACATTAGTGACTGTCTCAATTATGCAAATTATTTATGCAAATGATTTTCTTTATTGGTGTTGTATCTGGAGAAGTGACAAGATAAACAAACACTGGATTATTACTGTAGGTAGTGTAAGGAAACAAGGTATGATAATGTTTTTTTTGCTGTAATAAAGGTTTACCGCAGGCAGAGTGAAGAAAGAGATCCCAAGCAGGGCGAACCCAGCAGATAGCATTCGTCCAGTCCAGGTTTTAGGAGTCTTATCTCCATAACCTATAGTAGTGAGAGTGATCTAATAATAAAAAAAAAATACAGAGAGGGTCAATAGAGAATTTTCGACTTTGTATCTGTGAACTACATAACTTATGTTTTGATCTTGATTTGCCAAGATAAAAGACTTGTCAAGATGGATCAGATAACTTTGAATAAAGTGTATTATACTAATTTATGACAGAATGTCCTTTAGGACTCAGATGTAAAATTGTTTACAATAGTGCAAACAAAATTTAATTTATATATACTTTTGTTTCATTTTGTATTTTCATTTTTATATTTGATTCTAATACATTTATTAATATAACCACAAACTGCATAGGCTCAACATTATCTAATATTACTAATATGACATAAACTGAACAAAAAACAATTCTGGAATTCTTCAGAAAGAAAGTCTCTTTAAAAATGCATGCTCTAACCTCACCTGAATTATTAACTGCATAAAACACATCATGGTCGATATAAACCATGTTTATCTTCACTGCAAGTGAGCTATGTTTAGTGTAGTTTGGGTAATTTTTCTTTTTACCTTGTGAAATTTTGTTTATGGTTTTTGAGGATGATATCAAGCAACTTGCCCAATTGGCATCTGGCTAAATTGGCTAGATTTTATCTATTGACAGAATGAATTTGCGTGACCTCACCATGACCTCACCAGAACACATGTGCTAGATCATTTTTTGTACTTCTGTATGTGTTTATCTCTTTACTTGTGCATATACGTATAGTTGTCTTTTTCTTTTGGGTTGAAAGAACCTGAATGAGCCTGAAATCTATTCTCTGAACCATCAAGGGCATCCAAGCGAGACCAGAGATGGAGTTTGTCATTTGTGCCATCATGATTACTTTCTATCTCCATGGAAATGGAATCTAATGGGCCTCCGTATAACCTTTATGAAAAAGGTTTCAATTTCCCAAACAAGGTGGAAGGAAATGATCAAAAGGCTGAAAAGCGCGAGCCTGAAATTATTACTGAAATTTGATATCAATGATCATATTAAACTGAAACCAGTACGTCTTGCAGTTTTCCAGTAATGTTGGACATTAGCAAGAACATCCAAAATTACCCAGGAATAATTGCATAAGAGTCACAGAAGTGCTAAGAACACGTATGTGGCACCACAAGAACTTCTTTTGTGAAGCTCTGTATAGGTCAGAATATTACTTGGACTTGCATGAAATGGTGAAATGAATGGTGAAATGCACCATTGTGAAGAGATGTGGGGTGTGGAGACTCACCGTGCCCCACCATAATGCATCCGCATAGGTGGCAAAGTCTTTATTGAACTCCTTTTCCACCAGATAAACCAGGAAAGAGGAAAAGATGAGCACAAGGAACCCAATGTACCAGGCAGTGACCAATTCCTGTTAGACAGAGAAGCATTTAGAGAAGCATTTAGAGAACTTACAAAAGTACAAAAAGTACTTCACAATATGACAGTAGTTTTTGCTCATAAAACAAAGCATGCATTTAAATGATTAGTATATCAAAGTAACTCAAAAGTAAATAATTCTAGATGGTGACTTGTTAATGCAATAAACTTACCTTGCTGTGAGCATAAACTACAGATCCCAGAAGCTTCCAAGTTCCTCCACGGCGGTCCATGCGTACCATTCGCAGGATCTGTAAGAACCGCAAGCTTCGCAGTGCAGATGTTGCAAAAATGTTGCTTTGACTCCCAGCCGAAACCACCGCAACAGAGGCAATCAGCACTATAATGTCTGACGGTTGGGTAAAAGAACAGAAAAAATGATGTCAGAAAACATTTTACATATGTAGCATATCACAGGAGAATATATCATTTGCCATGTGTGTTTTAACGGCACATAAAATTCAAAATGTTATTTAGTTAGTTACCAGGTCCTCTGACACAGTTTAATTTTCTTTAATCCTTAATTTTTTCTTCTTCTTTTCGGTTTAATCTATGAAAGTGGCATCTGACATCCTAGGTGAGCTGTCCTTATAATATATTATTGCATACTGTAAATCCCATTGGACAAAAGGATCCAATAATTAATAAATCTCAACCTTTTTTGAACTTGAAGGCCACCTATTATATTCCGTCCAGCATTTCATCTGCAATTATACGAAGAGTTGCTTTTCCCCCAATGATTTTTTAAATCACAGAAACTGTGAGCATAGTGAATGCAGAGCATCCAGAAGTTTCAAGAACTGCATGTTCTTCAATAAAATCACTTAGTTTTGAAGTGTTTCAGACTCCGTGGTTGACAACACCACTGAACATGAAATGTATGTCTTTTGTTTATACGTAAATGTCTCATTAACCTGAAAAATTGTCAATGTAGTTTAATGCAGGTAAATGGGAATGGCATCTCTTCGGCTCAAACTAGACAATTTACTTCTCAAATGAGAGTTCACAGAGGAACATAGCCATTCTGTTCATGTAAATGATTGAAAAGAGTGATTTCCAAACTGTCATTTTGCCCATATTCTGTGGGAAAAGAGGATTGAGGGAGGGGAAAAGAGAGAAAGAGACAGAGAGAATAAGCGAAGGACACGGGAAGTTCACACAGAAACTACATCCACTTGGAGAAGCGACATCAAACCTTCAAAAAGCACAAACAACTCCAAGGCACTACTCAGCTGCAATAATATTTTCTTTCTCTTTCTGATCCTCCCTCTAATTTCTCATATACTTTGTAGTCGATGAAGCCAGACTTTCCAGAGAAAGGGCCTTCATGCTCAGCCACTCTACTGCTCTGTGCTGCAGTCTCTCGTTATAAGTCAAATCAACACATTACATGTGTTCTTAAAGTCTTTGTGGAGTCTAGAGTTGGGAGAGAAAATGCTTATTTAGGTGTAGAAGTGCACTCTGGATCTATAAATTATGACTCCGTTATCAAGCGCAGTAGAGATGACTCATGAACTCAATGAAAAATACATCAGGCTTTCACATGAAAGAGACCCCCATCACGATTCAGAATCAGCCCTGTTGAGAAGTGAAAGAATTTTGTTCCACTATCTTTTAAAAATGACAATTAGAAAAAAAAAAGAATGAAGTATTATGGAGTTTTGGGTCCAAAAGCCTGAAACCTCTAGTAACAATGCTTTTATCTGACATTTTTCTAATATAATACAGCTTGCATAAAATATACAACAAATTCAAAGTCCTACTTTTTATGTTTATGCCAGATTTAAAGGACAGCAATTTTATGGATAGAGAGCTTATATTTTAGCCCAAAGCAAAGGTTTGACAAACTCAACTACATCTTGGATGGCCTGAGGGTGAGTATATTTTCAGCAGATTTTCAACTACTCTTTTAAAACAGATTTTGAATGCCAGATTATTAGTAAGGTCAATGCTATATATCAAACTACCTGAATGTGAAATCTAGCTATACAATGCAGTATAGAAATGTAAAATGTTTGGCTTCAACTGAGTGGCAGAATATGTTGACTGTTACTTGACACGTTTATGCAAGCAAACTAAATCTGAAATATATGTTGCTATAAACTGCTGGAGGGTACAACAAAATCCAATACATCATCATCTGAACACCATTCTTTCGTTGACAGGGTTCATTCATCAGTTTAACATACAAATACCATCTTATGGCCGCTAATGACTTGTTGAATCAATTAGGAAACATGCACTCAATTTAAATGTGACAAAGCAAAATAAACCCTGCCTGAATTCTGGAAACAGCTTCCCAACCCATCTGTTAAAAAAACCCTTAAAACTACTTAAAACTTTCCAGCAGCAATCATGGTATAATACTAAAACACGTTGCTGCTAGTCCGATATTCGCAACACTATTTACTAGGGATGCACCGAGCCCGATACTGGTCTCCTGTACCCGTACTTGTTAAAATGCCCCGATACCAAATTGCGATACCACACAGCATGTGATAAGTGCCATATTCAGACAAAGAAACACAACCCATCTGTTAAAAAAACCCTTAAAACTACTTAAAACTTTCCAGCAGCAATCATGGTATAATACTAAAACACGTTGCTGCTAGTCCGATATTCGCAACACTATTTACTAGGGATGCACCGAGCCCGATACTGGTCTCCTGTACCCGTACTTGTTAAAATGCCCCGATACCAAATTGCGATACCACACAGCATGTGATAAGTGCCATATTCAGACAAAGAAACACCGACAACAGAACAACAGACAGCAGAAAGGAGTTAAGGATGTCTACTACGAAGTATATGTATGCAATGAATATAATGTTAAACATTCAGTATTAACGCCTGTATAGCTGATGTGCGCGAGCTGATAAACAAAGCATATCGGCAAGTACCAGAAATAAAAGTATCGGTATCGGGCAAGTACTGGAAAAAGTGGTATCGGTGCATCCCTACTATTTACCCTCAGGTCCTGTAGGACCTCTGGGTACATAAACATTCACTCATAATGAGTTTTAAATGATCTAAAATCAATCACCTGTTAATAATTCTTAGTGCATTCTGTTTCCATTAACATCATATTGATGAAATGGGGCTGTAAATGTGCATGTGTGTGGTATAAAATGACTTCAGCCAGAAAGAAAATGACATACAGTAATTCTGTGTTCACGTGCTATAAAACCAGCTTCACAAGGTTCAGAAGTATCTTAAACATTTCTACTTTCAAATTTGATTCAAAAAGTAGCCTAATGGTTATATGATGAGCTTTCACATGGATATGGATATTGAATGCCTAAAGACCAACCATTAATCAAATTGTTATCACCACATTATTTGATGGGTATTTTTCAGGTTTTAACATTTTAGTTGCTGCCTAGTTCAGTTCTAAGCGCACTAGCAAGGGAGTCAAAATCATTCCAGTACTGAGACATTTGCTCCCTATAAATTCCCAGAATGCCTGCCTATAACAAACTGTGAAAAATATTAAATCCAAATGGCCAAGGATGAGCACAAGTGTGAATGTATGAAATATCTTATTTTCTGTTGTTAAAAGAGATTACAATTTTAATTAACTCTAATCCCTTGTGTGCATGAAACCGCACCAATTTCATAATGGCACTGTGCGGCTGAACAGCTGCAATGTAGATGCACAATGGTGAGCTACATAAACATTTTGTTTAAAAAAATAGCTATGCTTTAATGCGCAACCTTGTACAGTAATTGAGTCATCAGTGTCTCTGATGTTTGGGATCAAGACCTTTGCTAGTGCCTGGGTTTGTGTTCACGATATACTAACAAAGGGGAATAGCGATCAGATTGAGGCATGGCTTAATAGAATCTCGAAGGACAGTTGGTCAGCACACACACACACAGACACATTATTCCCATTATTAATGACGTTCATTATCCCCATTTAGATCAATAAGGCCAGGGCTAAGTGTTAGCACTTAAGAACAGACACCACAAGCACCTACACACACTTAAACAAAGTAAGACATTATTAATAGCAAAGCCAGTATTAATGAGCTCACACAGTGTAACAGCAGTCTGGAGAACATTAGACAGGTTGAGGGGTCACTGAATGAGAGTTGTTTGCTGAAGTGGATTTGGTATTTTTTGGCAGCCACAACTGGAGGATGCCAGGTAAAAGGTTTGGGGTCAATGGGGAAGTGCGGTTAGGTTATTTTACAGGCATAAGACACTTCCTTAATGGCGATCTACAGTTATGAGGCTGTTGCCTTGGTTACATAGGAATAAACATAATTTGTGTCATCATGGAAGGATGAAAGCTGACTGGAGCAATTCATTTGTGAGGGAGGACAGTATTAGTGTTACTAATAGCTGCCAAAGCATATGACTAGCATGACTGTGTTAACTGGGACTGGGAATATACACCTAGCATAGATCAGATATATGTGACTGGACCGTCCAAAGTTTGGGGTACGATTTTATTTGTACTCTTATGTTCACCAAGTCTGTATTTATTTGATCAAATATACAATAAAAATTGTGCAATTTGTTAAATATTTTTTTTACCATTTTAAACATGTGAACATATTTTAAATATGACTCCAGTCATATACAGTGGTGTGAAAAAGTGTTGGCCCCCTTCCTGATTTCTTATTTTTTTGCATGTTTGTCACACTTTAATGTTTCAGATCATCAAACAAATTTAAATATTAGTAAAAGATAACACAAGTGAACACAACATGCAGTTTTTAAGTGAAGGTTTTTATTATTAAGGGAAACCAAAATCCAAAACTAAATGGCCCTGTGTGGAAAAGTGTTTGCCCCCTAAACCTAATAACTGGTTGGGCCAACCTTAGCAGCAACAACTGCAATCAAGCATTTGTGATAACTTGCAATGAGTCTGTTACAGCGCTGTGGAGGAATTTTGGTCCACTCATCTATGCAGAATTGTTGTAATTCAGCCACATTGGAGGGTTTTCGAGCATGAACCGCCTTTTTAAGGTCTGGCCAAGGATGAGCACAAGTGTGAATGTATGAAATATCTTATTTTCTGTTGTTAAAAGAGATTACAATTTTAATTAACTCTAATCCCTTGTGTGCATGAAACCGCACCAATTTCATAATGGCACTGTGCGGCTGAACAGCTGCAATGTAGATGCACAATGGTGAGCTACATAAACATTTTGTTTAAAAAAATAGCTATGCTTTAATGCGCAACCTTGTACAGTAATTGAGTCATCAGTGTCTCTGATGTTTGGGATCAAGACCTTTGCTAGTGCCTGGGTTTGTGTTCACGATATACTAACAAAGGGGAATAGCGATCAGATTGAGGCATGGCTTAATAGAATCTCGAAGGACAGTTGGTCAGCACACACACACACAGACACATTATTCCCATTATTAATGACGTTCATTATCCCCATTTAGATCAATAAGGCCAGGGCTAAGTGTTAGCACTTAAGAACAGACACCACAAGCACCTACACACACTTAAACAAAGTAAGACATTATTAATAGCAAAGCCAGTATTAATGAGCTCACACAGTGTAACAGCAGTCTGGAGAACATTAGACAGGTTGAGGGGTCACTGAATGAGAGTTGTTTGCTGAAGTGGATTTGGTATTTTTTGGCAGCCACAACTGGAGGATGCCAGGTAAAAGGTTTGGGGTCAATGGGGAAGTGCGGTTAGGTTATTTTACAGGCATAAGACACTTCCTTAATGGCGATCTACAGTTATGAGGCTGTTGCCTTGGTTACATAGGAATAAACATAATTTGTGTCATCATGGAAGGATGAAAGCTGACTGGAGCAATTCATTTGTGAGGGAGGACAGTATTAGTGTTACTAATAGCTGCCAAAGCATATGACTAGCATGACTGTGTTAACTGGGACTGGGAATATACACCTAGCATAGATCAGATATATGTGACTGGACCGTCCAAAGTTTGGGGTACGATTTTATTTGTACTCTTATGTTCACCAAGTCTGTATTTATTTGATCAAATATACAATAAAAATTGTGCAATTTGTGCAATATTTTTTTTACCATTTTAAACATGTGAACATATTTTAAATATGACTCCAGTCATATATATATATATTATTATTATTATTTTATATATATATATATATAAGTTTTTTTTGGGATTCTTTGATGTACATTAAATAATTTAATGACCTAGAATTTTTTGTAACATTATAAATGTCTTTACAGTCACTTTTGATCAATTTAATGCTTCTTTTCTGAAAAAAAATGCTTTAGAAATTAGAACTTTAGAATGCTTTAGAAATACCACTAACTGAGTACTATAGGGTCACCAAATATTTGCTTTTATATGAACTCTCAGTCCATAACCAGTGATGATGGGTGTTTGTTTCTTTAACACGTGCCATTGCAAGTAACCACGGTCAAAAATGAACACTCTGCAACCATCAAATGCAATTAAATCAGCTTTGGTAAGTAAATAAAATGTTGGTACTCTTTTATTTATATCGTGTAGTACAGAAAACCTTGTGACTCCAGAACATATTTCCTCCAACTTTGGAATGTTCCTTGCAGAGCAAGTCACAAAGAAGAAAGAAATGAGTAATAAATTGCCAATATGACTTTTTTGCCACAAATGCAATTTCTTTCAAATCTCATCTACTGCTGTGAGTGAAATGCTGGCCTGTGCTGTTTATGAAAAAAATATCATTAAAATAATATTTACAGTTTCATGGAGGTAAGAAATGCTAGTAAATCTGATAAAATCTCTCAACCAGGTTTGAATAGGTTAAATAATAGTGAACTCCTTTTCTAATACGGATCTCACTCTATCACCTCATTTAGAAATAGGAAAAGTCTGGAAATCCTGAACTTAAACAATGAAAGTTTCATGATTCTCATTTCATGGAGAGAAACTTTGCACATTGATTAAAGGCTCACCTATAACACAGAACGGCTTCCTTGCGAAGCGAAGTCGTCCCTGCCATCCTCTGTACCGGCAACAACAACCAGCAGACCAGATTCGAATGATGTACTCGAGCCCAAACACCACAATCATCACAAACTCCTACAAAGACAAAGAAAGACATTTTCAAGTTTATTTGTGTGGGTGTGCACTTGTTTCATCTGTGGTTGTGAAATTGATAACACTGTTAACCAACTACATTACAGCTACGTTACACACATCCCTGCTGGAATTACACAGTGAGATAAGTACTGTACATCGCGTACAACAGAACTTTTTAATAAAGAAACACAGATGGAGGTGTCCTTGCCTGTCAAATATAATCTGTGGGTCAGCTATTTCTTGAAACAAGTGGAAAATAACCTGATTATGGATCCATTAGTGGGCTCTGTTTTAGTCATATACTGTATATTTAGTGCTACTTCGAATCCTTAGTTTGTCAAGCTACAAGCTACTTTAATTTAAATAACTCAACTACAGTACAGTCTAAATGTTTTCAAAAATTATTTACTCAGAGCATAATTTATCTGGCCAAAAAAACTGTAATTTAAATAAATAAACGGTGGAAAAACACATAGACTAACAGCAACATTCAATGTAAATATCTTTTTAATTTTGAAAATGATTCATTTTAAATGAACCACATTGGAAGCAAAATATCAGTAGAAGTACAGAACTTTTCTGCCAGGACATTGTTTTCAAATATATTTTAATATATTTTAAAATATACCAAAAATGGACAAAAATTATATTTGCTAATATGTGCTTCCAAAATTTACATAAATATATTTTCTACCAATACATTTTTGGCAATTTTTATATATATTTTAAATGTATATAAATATATATTTTTTAAAGCATTTAAAAATATATATTTGACCTCTATATTTCAGTCCAACAAAATACATTTTCTTGCCCCGAAATACATTTAGAAATATATTTTGGTATATGAAGGTTAAAACTAAATATTTCTTATTTCAAAAATACATTTCATTGAGTTTCACTGTTTGCAACATATATTTAGCATATATTTCAAATATAATTTAGCCACATTAAATATATATTTTTGCCATATAGGCTTTACAGATATTTCCTTTAACCCTAAAACACAAAGCAATGTAATAAATCGTGCAAAATAAATGTATACCTCAATACAGAAAATTCCATATTAATAATAATAATAATAATAATGCGGCACATTGTACAATTTAGGTGGTTGTGTTTGATTAATACTTCATTTTGCCCACTATAAAGCATTTTGCCTATTATAAAGCATATACAAACACATATAAAAACATGTGCAAACACAATAATGCACACATACAGCAGCAGATGTTGACTGGTAAACTTATATGGAGTCTCTGACTCAATTCACTGAGGTAAAAGCCATTTTAAAAGACCACTATTTTGTTGACTCACCTCCTGTCTTTGCATTGTCAATTAAAAGGGCAGCAGTATGACTGAATAAAAGATCTTCCATTATGATCATATAAGTACTGCCTATAGATCATGAACATCATACAGATCATGTTTGGTATCAGCTGAGTCAATAAAACAAATCAGGTCCATTTGTATGACCATCATTACCAGTACACAAACCAGCAGGCTTCCAGGAACAGAAAACCAGCATAACATGAGCCTTTGATCCAGTGTTCATATCTCTCACCTGTAGCTGGCTTTTGTCAGGGCTTTGTAATCAAATAACTATTGACAATATTCCATCGTGCTGCATTAAAGAGATCATGCAAACCACAAGGTCTAAAAGTAGGGCATATTTGGTTGCGTTTATATTGTGATTTACTGATTTGATTAGCTTGACCTGTGTTGTGCAGTACTAGTAACATTTCACCATATTTGCCTTTAAATATGTGTGGAGACTCATCATCACACAGATAGCAGCATAATTTGGTGGAGAGCAGAGGCAATTTACTTTAGAGAAGTAGAGAATATTGCCTATATCTCCTATGCCAGGATCGGACTTTTTCTGCTTTTAATTACAGTAATCATAAGCGTAGAAGCTTATACTATATAACATTAATAAATTCAGGATGTAGCATTACATAACGTTCAAGACATACAGCTAGCTACGGTATTAGAGTACAGTTAACACAGAGTTCATGTGATATTTTTTTTTTTAACTTCTTAGCATGAGACTGTTCTCATGCTTTATCCGGTTTGGATTTTGTTTTGACACTGGTTAGCTTGACCTGTGTTGTGCAGTACTAGTAACATTTCACCATATTTGCCTTTAAATATGTGTGGAGACTCATCATCACACAGATAGCAGCAGAATTTGGTGGAGAGCAGAGGCAATTTACTTTAGAGAAGTAGAGAATATTGCCTATATCTCCTATGCCAGGATCTGACTTTTTCTGCTTTTAATTACAGTAATCATAAGCGTAGAAGCTTATACTATATAACATTAATAAATTCAGGATGTAGCATTACATAACGTTCAAGACATACAGCTAGCTACGGTATTAGAGTACAGTTAACATAGAGTTCATGTGATATATATTTTTTTAACTTCTTAGCATGAGACTGTTCTCATGCTTTATCCGGTTCTCTCTGAAGTGGCACTTAATAGGCATCATTTTGCATAATCAAATTGATTTGTTTTGAAGGTGAGTGCCAGGGACGAGCGACTAATGAACCAAATCTCCCTCTCTCACACAGATATGTATCACGCCATAACATTTTTTCTGATTTGATGTTAAAAACAGCAGATGGAAGACTGAAATTTTATTTCTCCCAATCCCTGTCACTATAATTTATATCACTAAACATAGTGTTATACATAGTTAATAATCAAGTCTCCTACAAATGATCATGTCTATGCAAATAGCAATGTACTAGTGAACTCACAACAAGGTGCTGTAAAAAGTGTTTAAGGGTGAATTCACACCTGTCTTGTTTGGTTCGATTGAATCGAACTCAAGTTCGTTTTCCCCCTTGGTGCGGATCTTTTGGACAGGTGTGAATACAGCAATCGCACTTGGGTGCGGACCAAACAACCGCACCGAGACCCAGCTGAAGAGGTGGTCTAGGTCCACTCCCAAACGAACTCTGGTATGGTTGAATGGATGAAACAATGAATGGATGACCTTAAGCACACGTGTGGTTTTGTTTACAGTTTCTGGTTCACTTGCAAAAAGGGCAGTGTGAAAGCGAACTGCACCAAACAAAAAAGAAATCAACATTGTATTTGGTCTGGACCAAAGCAAGTAAACTAGCAGACTTTCCTGGTGTGAACGCACCCTAAATATCTTACGATCACACAGAATGAAATGCAAAGCAGGGGAAAAGAGAGACAAATCTGGTGTGTGTGCATAAAAGCTTTTTTCTTCACTGATGTGCTGTCTAGTGGTCGCTCTAAGCGCATGTGTGAGCCACAGCAACAGAAGACCCAGCGATCCTGCAAACACTACGGATGTGTGAGCTGTCCGTGGTCCTGCACACAATTATAAAAGCTGCACAGAAGGTCTGTAACAAATCTTGACGCACAGATAATGATCCCCAAAATCCTCTCAAAGCTGTACTGCCCCCAAGAAAGTTAAAGAGCTGACATCTGTATTTAACTGATCCATATCAGTAAAACAAAGTATGTATGACTCTCACCTCAACAAGAGGAACCTTGTAACCTTAAGTAGTTGCCACCAAACAACAAAATCTCTGACTTACTTGAATGTAAAACAAAATATGTTTTGATCAGATCTTCTCAAACAGGAGTCTGGGGCCCATTAGGGGTCTCAGCAAACTTCGAAATAAGGCCCTTAAGATGATTTAAAATAAGACAAAACACACACAGTCTGAATATCTGAATACAATATATGGAAGACCTGAATATAGAACATGAGAATCCTATTTGTGAATTGTAAGTACATCTATGAACATTTGTATAATGTTATAATTTTTTTCTAATTAAAAATATTTGAACTATATTTTATACTACATATTTAAAATATTTTAACCTTTATAAATATTTTATAGCTCTATTTTTTTTTATCAGGAAGAAAATGTACATAACATATTTTTAAAAAATTATGTATCCTTAATTTGTATCCAGTCAGAGTCATGTAAATTGAGTGGCTAAACAGTGGGATCACTGAAAATTATTACACTCTTAAAAATTCTGGAATCCTGAATTTATACTTATTTTAATTATAATTAATTGCAATTATTTTAATTACTTATCTATGGACGTCGATTTAGATGCTGACTGTAAATAATATACAAGGGTGACCTACAAGACCTTCGAGGAACAAAGTCTCCCAACTTGTCCAAATGTTATACAAGTTAGGTTTAGATGCAAGCTACTTTTACAAGTAAACCTTACAAGCAGAGCTCCACAAACAAACAAAAAAAATTATCCAGACTTGACCAACTGTAAAACAAAATATGTTTAGAAGCTTACATGCTGTCCCTGTGTCAGAGACAGAAGGACTGTCCTAACATAAACAAGATAAAGAGTGAGTGCATATGGGGAGGGATTGTATATCATGCTTTTCAAAAACACAAATATACAGCAATGCCAGCTGTCCATTAAAGCAAGTGCAGCATCTGTTTGAACAATAATGACATTATTCTACACCACAAGGCTTAATTTCCAAGCAACAAAACAAACAGTCACCACAGAACCCATCAATTAGTCTATATACAGTCTCTCTTTAATTTCATATGCATACTATTCACTTTTCAACCATGTCTTTACTTCAGTCTCTGTCTGAACTATGTTAGCAATAACATAGTAGTAGGCTGTCGTCAGACCGTCTCATCATATGAAGCACACTGCTGCAGTGTCATTGGCTCCTTGTCAGCGTTACAGCTACTGCTGTGTTGATGGTTTTCTCCTACTGAGACAACGGTTCTCTCTTCTCTCTTAATATTCTTTATGAAGTAAGGTAGATCGATAAGACGATGCCATCAGGGATATGAATCAATGCAGGGAATGTTTGATCCTGCATCCAGCCCAACCAGGACTTAATCCCGCAAGAAATATGCTCATAGCATTCATTTGTCAGTATTGCATAACCAGAAGTTTTATCCACCTAGAAAAGAATACATTAGACATCCTTACAGCTCAAATAATGAATGGGGTTTTGCTGAATAATTCATGCAAGTGCTTAAACAAAAATACTACTGTAGCTTCACATTTACGTTGTTAAATCCTCCCGAATCCTGGCACGGTTGCCAGTGTAAGAGCCTTACTGTAACTGTGAAAAGTTGTGGCATTCAGCATTATGAAACAAATGCTGTCAATAAAGCTTAACTGTTGTTGACCCATATAGAAATAAAATGTTGATATATAATTTTCACATGTACATAAATACAAATTATATAAATGCTTTTGTAATAAATGTCTATCTTACTATAATATCAAAATGTATAGACAGGCTTTTGACATAAGAAATGGTTCCAATTTCTAATAGGTTTCATATATGTTTTACTTCATATGACAATATATTTCATACATGGAAATGTAATATGTACAGTACATATATTACATCTGTGTATGGGCGAAACCAAAGCATTAACATTTTGCATGTTTGATCTTTCCTCTCTTAACTCTGAGACCTTCTCACTGCAATGTCACTGCACTGTAAACATTTTTTGTTGTTGTAATTTTTTACAGAAAAAGACTGTAAAAATGCTGCAGTAAAAGCCTGCTAATTGGCATTAACTTACCTTACATATACGGTGAAAATTGCATTTATGTAATTCCACTGTAAAATACTGAAATATATTATCAACATATAATTTAACAGTATATTTGTAAAACAATCTGCATGACACATCACATATAAAACATATATGTAATGTGTCACATATAAATAATGATAATAAAGTTTCTTCTAATTTTTTTAATCAGTAATGTACATTACACTCTTAAAAATAAAGGTGCTTCACGATGCCATAGAAGAACCTTTTTGTCTAAATGGTTCCATAAAGAACCTTTAACATCTGAAGAACCTTTCTGTTTCACTAAAGGTTCTTTGTGGCGAAAGAAGGTTCTTCAGATTATAAAAAGGTAAGAAAGAGATAGTTATATAAAGAACCTTTGACTAAATGGTTCTTTGTGGAACCAAAAATGGTTATTCTATGGCATCTCTGTGAAGAACATTTTATTTTTAAGAGTGGTAGGTGTTTTGTGTTAAATGTTATATTATTTAGGTAACGTTTATTGTATTTTTTTGTTGGTATTTTGTGTATATGACCCTGTGCACACTGCACAGTCTACTGTATACGAGCACTGGCCACATTTTATGGACAGACCACTTACAGTTTCATCATAAATTTGCTCTTCACCAGTATTACTAAGTGCACAGTTATAATGCAAATGACAGAAAGTGAGAAAGTCAAAGACTGTTACTAAAACCAGCACTGATAACCCTCCACTGTATTGTACAGTCTCCCATGAGAGCCTGCTGGCGGGA